TTTATATGTATATATGCGTGTGTGTGAATACATATATGATATCCTCTACTGTTTTTGTACACAGAAATCTCTGAACTATGTATAAACAAAGACCACAAGTTGGTTCCTTATCTTGGTACAAAGCCAAGGTGATTTATATCAAGCATGAATTAACATCTTTATTGGATTTGAATTTGCTTTGGTAGGAAATCTGCTCTTTCCTAATTCAAAACCAGTGAAAGCTGTTAGAAATAGAAAACATTTTCATGTATGAAATTGAACCAGTCATGATTCAGCCTTAGGTTATGTGGCTGGTCATTAATTAGCCAGGATTTAAGCGGCCAGGTGATTACTAATTGAAAATATTATACTTTGATTAAACATATTTGCTTACTTTAGAATTCGGAAGTGACGGTCTAAATGTACCCTACCTGTTTGTTACTCAATGTAATTGTTAGTCCCTGAGTAAATTTTACTGCCCTCTAGCTACAGAACAGAGGAAGTTATCATGGATAAACATGGTGAAACTCTCAGTCTTAATTACAATAAATTCTAAATTGAAAATATCAGGGAAGTTAAAGTAGGTGTGCTGAAACAAGTTCCTGCAAATGGCAATGAAACATTTTTTCTGCTGTAACAGACCTCAGCAACCCTCCAGGACGACTAGTCAGCCTCAAAAAAACGAAATTCTTCTACATTAAATGTTTTATATTACACATTTTACATATTAAAATATGACTATGAGCATGGAGAGTATCAGTTTTTGTCTACAACATTTCATCTCTCCCTTCCTTAGCAGCATGTTACTATTTGAAATATTTGTACTTGGAGAATACATTTTTTTAACCCAGATGATTTCCTTCTAAGTTCAGTTTGCTCATTCTGCCTGCTGCAGCTTGACTCTACTGCAGAAAGTTGCAAGCAGTTCCAACAACAGGTAAAAAAGACATATTTCAAAGGGTAAGCAGGCACAGCTGCTTCTTAACCACACTTTTTCGAGACAAGAGCAGTGTCCAGTGCATAGCTGCACAACCTGAGGTCAGGTAATGCCAAAACCCCTCAAGTCACTCAAGAGAACACAATGGGTAAAACAGAAAACAAATCCCTCAAGATGTGCAAATTGCTGCATGTAACTGCACCAGACCCCATCACTGCAACAGAACTGTACAGACCACTCTAAAGGCTCAACATCTCATTTTCATACTGCATTACCTTTGTTCTTTACCATAATTATGAAGTAGGAAAAAAAATCCATCCCAAACCAATTAGAAATACAAATAAAACCATGCATAATGCTTGAATTAGACAATTATGTCCTTCATGTGCCTTTCAGGCCCACATGTTTCCAGTGTAGCTCTGTTAGGCTTATAAAAATATATCCCTCCTGTCCTCTGGAAACCCAATCCATTTCAATCTGTAATGTAAATAGTTTCTTTTTAACACACAGTGTGTGCTGATTTCACCTTAATTATATATTTCCCATTGCGAGAACTCAAACTGTGGGATACTGGGAAAGAATTTCAGCAGCAGCCTATAAAGAACAGGGGCTGAAGCTTGGCTTCCATTAACACCTCATTAGCCAGAGTCTGTACTGTATGTAAAATGAGCTAATGATTTTTAAATGAAGTTGTCAATCTATAACTTAATAATGCAGAAATCTATTTCTCTGTAATACTGACATGCTATAACACATGTTTATCTCTACAAGTTAACGTGAAGATATTGGAGTACTCAGATCTTGGTTGGTCATCTTCAAACACTGATCTTTAGTGCAAGCATAACACTAATACCACAAGTGGTACTGATTGCAGTATAAATTTCCTAATGGACACAAGATCATGGTTTGAGGAAAACACCTTCCAGTTCTGGATATAAACCTATCTCAACTAACTAAAAATGAAGTTAGAACCATAAAATGACATCTAGGTGATTAGAGGATCAAGTCACATCTGATAAAGAAATGGCAAAATTCACATTTGAGCTTACTGTGAATTGAGACCATCACCTGCCTCAGCAAAAATCACCATTACAGTTTGCATTGGCTTGACAGGTTTAGCAGTAGTTCATGAATGCAGGACTTTCATTAACTCCCACTGAAGCAGAGTAAATGGCCATGGAGTCAAACAGGGGTTGCACAATACATCCCTTAATTGGCAGGGGGATTGTGGTATTCCTATCCATCAGGCGACCCCTCTGCAAGGGTTAAGACCTGATCCTGCTGCTGTGGGTTTGGAGACATGTGTGCACTGCAGGTGAAGGTCTGGTTTGCTGGGAGAGCAAAAGGTTCCCCTTCACTGTCAGGCCACTAACTCACTTTCACCGAGCACCACTTTAAAAGGGATTTAAAGAGATAATTTGTGAATTGTTAAAAATCAAAGGACACTCTAATTCATGCAAGTGTTCTCTTGACTGAACAGAACCAAGACTTTAAAATGGACTGTTTTAAATATTTTTCCATAACAACAACAACAAAAAAATCTGATGTCCATAACCTCATCATACTCATCACAGAAGTTTATAACTTTTCAGTCAGCACTGACCTATCTTGCAAGGGCCTGAATCCCAATTATCCACCAACATCTGCAGTTGCAAAGGGAGACAGTGAGCAGGCCTGCTAACTTCCATGTTGCAGGGTCTTTGCAGTGAATTTTTTATCTGAGACTGCAGCTACTCCACACTGAAAATTTGCACATATGGGCTTCATCCTCTCTCTGTGCCACACCAGCAACTCACAGGACAGGCTGAAGCACCTTCATACAGAGGGTGCACACCCACCTCTTTGTAACTTCCCCAACCTCTCTGGTACCCACAGCAGCCTTTCTCTGGAGCAAATGCAATTCAGATGAGGGTCCCTCCTGCTGCTCCTGTTTGATTAGTGAGGACAGCAGTGGCATTTGCTCATTGTCTTCTTGCTAGGTCGCTACATTCTTGTGGCTGGGAGGGCTGCAGTAGCTGTTCCCAGGGTGGCAGGCATGTATGCCATTTCCAACCCTTGCCTGGGGATAGATACGTGGTCAGGCACTCCCTGGCTGCAACGCTGCTTGTAAAATCAGTCTCATTTCCTAAGGGTGAAAAATGTGACGGGGTATTGTACAAGGTGAACCATAACATGGTGATGTGTGTGACCGTGGTGGGGAATTTATGACGACAGATCTTTCTGTGTTGTTGGATATGAGGGAGCTGCCATCAGGCAGGTAAGGTTTGGCCCTCTGTGAGAAATGGATGCTTTAAGATCTCTTTGAAGATATCAGAGTTATGATGTGTTATGGCCAAATTACTGGCCCACTGTTGAAAAGAGAAGTAGTGTGCAGCGAAATGTACACTAGTTCCAACCACTGGAAAGCAATTGCTACTACAAGTGAGCAGAGAAGCAGTTAATAGTCACAGTACCACAGTGGGGAGCTTGCCAAAATTTTCAGCAAAGCCCAAGTCCTGAACCAACATAACACTTGGTCTATTTGTCTCATTTACTGTGCTTTTCTCATCCCCATAACCCCATCAGAAGCAAACAAATGTCAGTAACAATTAGAGCCCTAGCAGTTACATCTAGAAATAAATCAATATTCAAGTGCACGTTTTCAACAGTAAGAGATGTGAAAGGATTATACAATCAGCATTTGGCACTCATTCCTACTGTACTCTGAAGCCATAGGCTAAAAGAAAAGTGGTTTATATGTTAAAAAAGGTCATATAATTTATTTCATTCAGAGCAATTAATTGTTTACTTACAAGACAGCTTTCCATGAAAAATACTTCTTTCTCTAAAACATTTCATAGCCCTATAAAAGCAAGCCCCATTTCTTATAGCTTCCTAGCAAGACTTTCAGACCAATTATACTATTCAGCTTCTCCCTTCCTTATAATTGGTAATTTAGCTTGCTATATAAAACACAATTAAACCTTGTTAGGAGTAAAGCTATATACACATGGATCTCTAGATGCTGCTAATTCTTAAAACTTAGCCATTCTTAAAATAGGTATTCTAATGTACTTCACACTGATGCAGCTTAGTTATCACTTGTACAACCATTGAAATGTTCTTGACTAAATTGGAAATTGTTCATTCCCAACTATGGCAGCAAAAAAGCATTTTGTTTTCATCTGTACCCAAGAGGTAATATCCAAACATTACTGATTGGCCAATCATCACTTTATCTTGCACAAATACATTTATTTCTCCTATTGCAATGACCATCTCTCATACCTGTCTAAGTATATAATCTACAAATGTATGCCCTGCTGCAGAGAACTGAAATGCTGTGGCTGTGCACAGGTATTTTATACATATACAAGATTAAACCCAAATCATAGGGAAGAGTTTAAACGACATGCAATCCAGAACAGAGACACTGAAGGAGCTAAGGAAGAAAGGTTCAGCCTTCAGGTAGCTGAGACTTAAATAATTTTAAGCAAAAATAAAAGTTCTAAGTATTCCATATAAATATGTCAGAAAAAATAACATTTTTCCTTTGGCTAACTCAGTTAAACAGCAAGCAGACTTACATTGGCAGGTACTCATTTTAATTATAGTGTGATGACACTTGCTAGTTTAGAAAATGAATCATATGGTTGCACAGGAATTCAGTCCTTTTGCCTTAGCTATATTTGTAGACAGATAGAATTCTAAAAGTGAAACAGACATTTAATTGTTCAAGGGTTACATGATGCACATTTATTCAGCAATAATTTCAGGTTATCATCTCCATTTCTTTCCCTCCTAATAAGAGACCTGACAGCCTTCTTACAGCATGGAGAGTAAGAGAGAATGACATGCAAATCTAACACACTTTCAGGTAGAAGAATATTTCAGTAGTCCAAAATCATCACTGTAAGTACTTTAAGTATTCTAGAATAGGTAAACTTAATCTAGGATGCAGTTTAGCACAAGGAAACAATTCACATGATTTCTGAACAGGAACACTTTATCAAAGGACCATAATTTAATCCCGATGCAATGCATTCAGTGAAGGCAGTGAACTTGCAGAGTACAAAGTCTTTAAAAACCTGACACACTGACCTACCTTTATGTGACAGACGTAACCTCGGCTGCCTCGTATCTGCGGCGCGACATCCAGCCGGGAGCTCCAGCAACAAGCCACACAGTGCCAGCATCAGAAGGTCCTGAGCAGATGCCATCCTGCCCAGGATAAATTTCTTGCTCTCTTCACTGAACTGCTGCTGTTTGTTTGTTGTTCTGCTGGGGTGTTTTTAAGGCTCCAACTTCCACTTTGCCAGTGCAGTTAGCTCTCTCTCTCTCTTTTTGGTCAGTTTTTGGGGTGTCTCTGTGGGAAATTCAGCGTTCATCAGAGCAGCACACAGCCTCAGCTAGCCATTTGTCAAGCTGTGCAAATGTCATGTAAAAATATTCCCCTCCCTAGGACAATTGTTTATAAAGTGCAAGGACATTCCAAGGCGTTACTCTGCAGTGTTGTGTCTTGAGCTGTCTTTAGTAACTCTGCCAGTGGATTCGGGAAGAAGCTGTATTTTCAGTCCCTCCTGCAAGGCAATTCATTCAGAGAAGGAGGGAGGGAGAGGAGAAAAAAAAAAAAAAACACGGAAAAAACGAGAAAGCACCCTCCTCCTTGGTGCTCCTCAGAACTCAGCCCCTTGCTCTGACTTGCCAAACAGCTAGCTTTAATTCACCTTTCACCTCGGCTAATTAAATCCAAGAAGTGCCATTGCCTCCTGGAGTTGCAGGATCCACCCAGCGGGAAGCCGGGCTGTCAGGCTGCTGGATTCACCGGGAAAGTTCAGGGAGGGTTTGGGCAATGCACGGTCCTGGCTGCTCCTAGGAAGCGTTTAATCCACGTGCCGTGCCCTGATTCCTCAATCGCTGTGTGGTTTCACGTTGTAAAACAACAGGAGAAGGGGCAGAATTCCTCCTGTCCCTCCCTCTCAAAAAGTCATTTCAGCTTTTGTTCCCAGCTCAGTTTTAGAGGAGGATCAACCCTTGCATTAACCATTTAAGTACATTATCACTTAGTGTCGTTAAACAGCATGCTCCTAAGTGGATCAGGGTAAAAAGAGTCTAGCTGTATACAATTTCTCACTTTAAAGAAAAAGGATCTGCTTTTTACATTTTTTCCCCCTTATGTGCTTTTATACAGTAGCTTCTTCCCTTTACATTTTAAATGTCTCTGAGTCTGGAACCTGAGGTCATCTATATATGTCAGTAAAATTATTTATCTGAAATCTGAATACATACTTGTAGGATTGGGCAGTATTAAAAAAAATATATAAAAGCCTGACCAAGCACTGTGATGATTAACAGCATCAGATTTAAAAGTGCCAAGCAGCTACCTCTTACACTGCTAACAAGTACCAGAAAACTTAATCTCTTTTTTGCATGTGTGTCTTAAAATATACCCATGGCAAGAACTAGGTTTTTATACATCAAAACTACAGATGTCTGGAATACATTAATTAAGGAATAAAGTTCTCTGTAATTAAGATCTCATGCATATAATCATTTAGGATTATGCAAGGTGCATTTTAGACATTAACAATTGCACTATTTTAATAGGATGAAGCATTAAAGTCACGTTAAGTCTTTATACTTCTCATTGTTTTTTACAGAAAAAGAATCACAAAGAAAGGAAAATGAAAACTAATATATGCATTTGACAATAATGCACTCAAACAAAATTGGTAGTCAACCAGAGATAATAATATCTGGAGAGAAAGATTTAATAAGACATGTCTGTATGCCAGCAAACTGAAAAGAACCCAGAACAATAATATAATGAAATGCTAATAAATGTAATAGCAGGATACATGGATGGGAGAGGACAGATCTGTTCAAGAAGAATAAAATATGTGAACTACTAGGACGGAGGAAAAAAAAATGCAGCTGTGGTGAAAGGACAGAAGTAAATCCTCAGAATGCCCAAGGACTCCTGGAGGCTGCTGTATAATCAGGAGCAGGAGCAGGTCATGTGTACCTGTCAGTTCTCCAGGAGCAGGTCATGTACACATCCCTGGGCTTGCTTTGAATCAGCTGGAAGCTGTGCCAGCAGCACTTGAACCTCGGCAGCACCAGCTAAATCACACACAGCCATTCGCTCCAATTCTTGCACACAATTGCAGGTTGCAGTGGGTTTTATGCTGATGTGCCAGCTGTCTGGGAGCAGCTCAGCATGAGAACTGGAGATATTGTCAGTGGAGAAGGCAAAGCAGGCTCAGCCTGCAAGCACAGCCCTCAGCAGGGATGGGTTTGTGTCCACCTGATGGGATTGTTGCTGCTGGCACCTTTCTGTGCTGCTGAGGCACACAGGTGTTCTGCCTTTGGCCATTGAGAGCTGCGGTAAAGCAGCATGGTCTGGTCCCTGTTAAGGTTAGTGAAGACTCCCCTTTGGTTGTGATACTGTGAGTTCTTACTGAAATATTTGCATTTTTCCTAAAAGAAAAAAGAAAACCGAAACCACCCCACAATTGTACAATTAAGACATTTCTCAAATACTCATTCTCTGTCATCATAAGCTTGCAAAATGTAAGCATTTCTGATTCTGAGGTAGTCCAAATGGAATTTTTCTCTTTGAAAGATCTTGTTGTGGAAAATGTTGCTTTTTTTTATTTATGATATGTACTTTCAAAAAGGACACAAAAATCCAAATGTGAGCTCACACTATGAAAGCTAAAACCATATTCAGTGTAAAGCAAATATTAGTGCAATATCTCAACTCTTGTCTCTCTCTAGAATTCCCCTCCCAGCTGCTATATGGTGTTATTTATTACTTTTCCTGGGCTTCAGCTGGCATCTGAGATGCTTAACAGACTGAATAGGTACACTTTGGTTATCCTGAGATGGTAGCAAAAAGATTAGTGTGGCAAATACAAAACAATTTCCCCAACAACAAAGTTCTGTTTTCTTTTTCTAGCAGGGAAAAGGGAGCTGGAGGAGGGAGCACAAGGGAGCCGCTAGGAGCTATGTGGGCCTTGTTTTGTGTTTAGCTAAGATGTGGGGTGCAGCAGGTCTATTCAAACAAATACATGCATACAAATAAGGGCAACTCCCCCACCAACCTGAGCTTGCATGCACTCACTTGCGTTTCCAGCCCCACATATCCCAGCCATTACACAACTCCTTGGCTCTCTGCAAACACAACGTGACCCAGGGCTGGAGCTCCAGAGGAGTCAGAAATACCCAAACAAGCTGATTTTCATATTTGTGCCCAAGGACAAAGCTTTTTTGTCTGAAATCTGATTCTCAAGCAGGGTGGGCTGCGTGGGTGCCTCGGGCTCCTTCCCTGCCTGCAGAGGGAAGGGCTGGGGCAAAGGCAGGGAGGCAGGAGCTGGAGCTGCTGCTCAGTGTTCAGGCTTTGGCTGTCAGCAAGAAATCTGCAAATGGCTGCTGGGCATGCGGGAAGATGCCTGCACTCAAAGCAACCTAACAATAGGAAAGGAAAATTCACATACAGGTACATGCAGAAGATAGAATTTCTTTTTTCCCCTAACTTTATGTTCTCACAAGGTGAATCCTCTCTTTATAATTCACAAATTGCTGTGTGAGGATTGCAAGCCCTTGCACCCTTACACAACAAGATTTGTGGCAAAGCAAGTGGTGGAGAGGTACACACAATTTCAACCCAAGAGAAATGTGTGGCCTCAGGCAAGGCAGTCAAGCTCTATACCTCAGCATCTTTTCAATTTAATAGGTACACACTCCTGCCCCAAGGGGTTAGACTTTTTCCTCTACAGTTTTAACTAGTAGGTAGAGGGATGGCAACACAGGTGTTCAAATATTAGGATTCAGTGTTAGATCAGTACAAACACAAAGCCCCAGGGCTATGGAGCCCTCATGTAGTACAGTACAAGGACCTCTGAAGAGTAAACAAAGTGGGTTTACTCCTTATTTTCTGTGTAATAAGGCAAATGCAACAGATCTCTGCCAAACCTGAGTTTGTTTCAGTAGTATAATTGCCATTTAAGTAAATGCTGACAGATAACTTAAAAAAAAATGCCTGCAAACATGCCTGTAAGTAAAGAGCATTTGAAAATTGAAATTCAAACCCTGTATTTGATTACCAGTGTAGAATGCCTATAATTGCACTATCCTAAAGAGGAAGATGATGAGTTTTTTCAAAAAGGGGGAAAAAAATGGTTGCTGTGTGCATATGCAGTCTTTATGTACAGTAAAAGAGTCCATTAAAAGAACTACAAATTAATTGTGAGTTGCTATGTGAAGTCTGTGAACCATGGTTTGATTTGCTACAGCTGCTGCAGATCCAGAGCAATCGTAATGAAATTGTTGAGCCTTTAAATCTAGGAACTCTAACACAAAATACTTCTGACATATTGTGTGAACTGGTTTCAGTTTAACTGATAGAGTGAAATGTAAACGCAGGAGCATGACATAAATAAGTAGATCTGCAGCTACTAGAACTGGTAACAAATTGCATTATAACCATAAAGCAAAATGAAATGTTTAGAAAATTTAAAGCAGGGGTGGTCCAAGATTTGCCGTAACCATAACTGGTTTAAACCAGGTTTAAAATTTACAAAACTGCTTCTTTCTTCTGATGATAATACACTGAACCAAAGCAGGAATTCTCTCTTTTTTCTGTCTCTTGACTGTGGCTGCAGATCTGAGGAAGGTGAACAACTCCAAAAGGAGCTGTGTGGCCTTCACCAAAGTTAATGGTACCTCTGTTTGCATTAGTACAGTACCTGCGGTAGATGTAGCACACAGGTAATGATATCTCCATTTATTTAATACAAAAATATTTAAAAGGCTTAGATAACAACTTATTTTAGTTATTTAAATCTTTTTATGATACTTTATCTACTGGGCATTACAGTTCATATTGACACGTTGACTTTTAAATTCTGTCATACAAAATTCTTACAACACATGTAGGATTTGAAGGAAAGATCTATAATACATCATATACATGTAATTCTCTGCATTTTCTCTGCCTTTGAGGTGGCAATTCATGTCTGCTCCTGTCTCTGTTGCAAACTGGCCATTGACTCCCTCATGTGAGCTGTACTGGGAGAAATGGTTGCCCCAAACTGGTACTACAGCATCCTAACTCCCAACAAACCCCTAAAAACACCGTGGACACATTTGTTAAGAGTGCTGGCAAGACACAACAAAAAAGCAGAAACGCTGATCCTACAGGTGAGTAATCACTCAGTAACATCTTCTGGAATCTCTCTCAAGGAAAAAGGAGCAGAGCCACCACTTCAATGACCCCACTGACCACTGGCCCTCTGGAGGATGGGCTTACTGATAGCAGAAGAATGCTGCCAGATCTTGCTTGTTACAAGGAAATAACAGTAAATAATAATAAGGCTTGGTCCTCTGTGGAATTTTCAGACTAGAAATATTTTGACTCTTTGCTTTTGTCATCAGAAGTTGGAACCTAACCCTGTGTGAAACTAGAAGTGTTTGTAGGAGATGTCTCCAGGACAGGGAAGTGCTATTTCTCTTGTTTTATACACAGTGTGTTCTCTTTGATCCAAGATAAAATTTAGACAATATTCATTAAGCAAAAGAGATTGGCTGAACATGAACCTGTACTTCAAAATAGCCACAAAATTACATGATAAATTAATGCTCTGGAAGAAGAAAAAGAGTCTCAATTAAATTAAATTACTCAACTCCAGAAGGACAGGGTTTTGGCAGGTAAATATAGAAAAAGGCTGTCCTTGGAACATTATTGTGTGCAGTACCATCGTTTCTATGTGTAATTACAAGTGAATATCAATACTGCTTGGGACATAGATTGGGTATTTTGGCTAACTTATAAAAAACAGGAATAATTTTTTTTTCTTCAAATTCAGACCTCTTAACAGATTTCTTTATAGCTTGGACTAAAAACCAGGCATATCAGTGTATCTTATTCCTGAAATCAACTCCATGTGCCCGACTTAC